AAAAAAACTTTTTAACCAAAATATTAAAAGTTAGAATATTTAAATAAAAAATAAAAAATTAATATTCTTAAATAAAAAATTTAAAAATTAACAATTTTATTTAAAAATATCAAAATTAATATTTTTAAATAAAAAAGAGTGTAAAATTTATATCTTTATTTTTTCATTTTTTTTCAAATATCAATCTAAACCAAGAGAATTTTTCTGTATTCTTTTTTTTTTTTTTGGGAACATGTGACAATTAAGATTAAAAAAAAAACACATTACTAAAATTCTTGTTTTCAGCAACTAAGTATCAACAACATGAAATTGCTTGTCGGTGATATGAATTTTCACCGACAAGGCCTATGTTGCTGATACTTAAATAGTACACCTTTTAGCAAAAAGTGTTTTTTACTTTTAGCAACATGGTTCTTGTTGTTGAAATGAATTTTAGTAACAAGAACCATGTTGCTGAAATTTTTTGGCTACTGTTCATAACCAGATGCTGCACCAATTCCATAAATTAATTAGCAACATAGGAGCATGTCGGTGATATGAATTTTCACCGATAAGGTTCATGATTGGGTGCTGCATCAATTCCATAAATTAATTAGCAACGTGGGAGCATGTCAGTGATATGAATTTTCACCAACAAGACCTATGTTGCTGATATTTAAATAATACACTTTCCCCCCAAAAAGTGTTCTTCACTTTCAGCAACATGGTTGTTGTTTCTGAAAGTGAATTTCAACAATAAGAATCACTTGGCTGAAATTTTTCGGTGGACTAGGCCCATGTTCATTGACCGACAGTTGCACCCATTCCATGGGAACTACCAGCATGAACTTCTAAAGCATTTATTAACCAGAATCACAGAGCCTGCATCTGTTACATACTAATTTAAGTAAGCTTCTCAAATAAAAAAATTAACTAAAGATGAGAATTTTGAACTGTCAATTCCCCAAAAACCCAATTTTTTTTTTTCAGGTGCCAAGCCTAAGATTCAGGTTAACTTTCATTTGGATGAGGAAAAAAGTAGAATTTTAACTAAAAAATACAATAGAAAATTTGAGGCCATGGCTTCAAAATTGCATGAGTTGGAACCTTTCCATCAAAATCCTCCCACCACATTAAGATGTTCATAAAAACATCCTGCAAATAACACAAAACTTGTAGACTCATTGGATTCACTAGCAGCAAATTGCATTCAAAATAATGAGAGCAAATGAATATTCCTCAAAATTTCAAGCCACTTTTCTTTATTTGGAAGGCCAATCTCTAAAATAATTTATAATTATATGTGAAGTACTTTTGTAAACCCAAAAGGATGTACACATTATTTTTTTAGCTAAATTAGATATTTAAATCATTTAAGTAAAGAGTGAATAATATAATTATGTTAAGTAATGTGTTAAATGTTAAGTAATATTTAATAAAGTTAAAAATATCAACTAATAAATTAAATTTTAGAGATAAATAACATAATTATATTAATTAATGAGTCAAGTGTTAAATAAAATTTAATAGATTAAAGAAATTCAACTAATAGATTAAATTTTAAATATACAAATTAATTTTTTAAAAATTACAAATTAATTAAAATATAATAATTTTAATTATTCTGAATTGTCAATGCATAATAGTAAGAGTTTTTGAGATTAATTGAATATCTTTTGAAAGTTGAGGGACTAAATTGCAAGAAGAAAGGTGCTTGTTTGGGACCTAAATGAATGAATCTTAAGTTTTTAGATCTAAGTGATCATTTTATGAAATATAGAGGACCAGATTTTACAATTTTACCATTGAAGAAATTGCAGAAAGAGCTCAGCAACCCGACCCGGGTAAAGTGTCGACACGTAATTCACAGTGTAATCTACAGTGTCTACACTATGTGTTCAATGCCCAAAAAATCCTACTCCAGGTAAGAGTCGAATCTATAAAAATAGAGTCGACTCTTTGGTATTAAAGAGTCGAATCTAAAATAGTAAAGTTGACTCTCAAGTCTTCAAGAATCGACTATAGATGGTCAAAATTCGACTCCCAAATTTTAGAGAGTTATGAATATCCTGCTGCAAGTCAAAGTCGATTCTTATGGTTAAAGAATCAACTTTTTGTGGAGAAAAGTCGACTCTTACTTAAAAATATCTATGTAACCTCATATATATATCCACATATTTTTTTAAAAATTAAATAGAGTTTAAAATTATCTAAATATATTAATAACTATTGTAAATATATTAATTAATTTACCATGTATTAAATAAAATTTAATAGATGAAATAGAACCAACTAATAAATTAAATTTTATTTATAAAAATGAATTTTTTAAA